TGTTTTTGTTTTAACCAAAAAAAAAAAAGGACCCGGGCTTGTTTTTCCCCCGGGTTTTTTCCCCCGGGCCCCCGAACCCCCCCGGGGGGATGGGGTTCCCTTTTTTTCCCCGGTTTTTTTTCCCCGGGGAAATTTTTTTTCCTGGTTTTTCCTTTTGGGGGCCGGAAAATAAAAAAAATCCCCCTTGGGGGTTTTTTTTTTTTTCCCCCCCCCCCCCCCCCCCATGGTAGTGTTGATATTTGGGGTTAATAGTAGATGTGAAGAAGTAGGATTATATTGCTTCGCAAGGGGGGGGGTAGAAAGGGAATGAAACCACTTTAGAATCACGTTTGGAAGGAGAGTAAGCGCAGAATGGGAAAGACTAGAAGTAGAGAAGATGTCGGCGTGGGTGAGGAGACTAGGTTGGAGGGTGTGCATAGCAAATAGGATCCAGGAAGTAAGGCGTAGCCCAAGGCTGGCTGAAAACAAAGGGGGGCAGGAGGCCCGAAAGGATCAAAAGGGAAAGCAAGCCAAAGTAGGGGAAGGGGGGGGCAGCGATAGGATAAGGCAGAAGGGAAGGCAAATGAGGGACAGAAGGAATCCTGAAAGGCACGGGAAAGTAGAAAGTAGGAGTAAGGAAATCAGAATAGGGTCTTGGAATGTATGCGGATTTGCCACAGATGAGCGTAAAAGACTCGAAATTGCCGAGCAAGCAGCCGAAAAAGACCTGGACATAGTCGGAGTCCAAGAGTCGTGGAGAAGGACGGGGGAGAAATAGGAAAAGGAGTAGGAAGCTACACATGGATAGGTAAAATGAGGAGAGGACAGAAAATCAAGAGTAGAGGGGAGGGAGGAGTTGGATTCTTAGTCAAGGAGCACATGTGCGACATAATTGGGGTGATCAGCGACACCGAATTCAACGAAAGCATGTGGATAAGGGTACCAGGGGAACGGGGGAGGAAGGACTTGTTCGTAGGAAATGTATATATACCACCAGAGTTGAAGAATATGGTGAAGGACATCAGGATAGGGTTCGAGGAGGTAGCAGCGCATGTACAAAACTTAGAGAAAGGGAGAAGTAGTTCTAGTTGGGGACTTCAATTCAAGAATCGGGCGAACCACGAACCCACACGGAGCCATAGGGCAATACGGGGAGGGAGCCAAGAACAAAAACGGGAAGAAATGCTGAGGTTCCTTGACAGTAGCGAGATGAAGGCGTTGAACGGTAGAGTACGAAAGACAGAACCGGAATGGACTATGCAATGTTTCAAAAAAGGAGAACGCTTCATCCTTGACTATATAGTCGTAGAGAATGGGGGGAAAGAGACGGAAGTACGAGTATGCACAACGGATGTAGGCACTACAGACCACGCGTTGGTGTGGACAGCCCTACAACAGACGAGAGTCATACAGAGTAGGCGACGCAGGAAAATGTACAGATGGAGAATAGATAAGCTAGAAGTAGAAGAAAAGAGGGTAGAGTTCCAAGAAGAGATGGCTATAAACGACAAGAAACTCTCGGAGTTGATAGAGGCAATGGGCACACCGAAGGATGCCGAAGGCCGGGACCAGGCCGGATCTAGAATCATAGAAGGGTGGGAAGAGCTGGTAAACACAACAGCAAGTAGAGTTCTAGGTAGAAAGTTGATAGTTTGTAAGAGAGCAGTGAAGTGGTGGGACGAAGAAATCAAGCAAGCAATTCGAGTACGTAGAGAGTCACACGCAAAATATGCGGCAGGGAAAACAGATGCAGGATGGAAGGAGTATGTTGAAAGTAGAAAGAGGGCGAAAGAGTTGGTCGTGAAGAAGAAGAAAGGGTTGTGGGAGGAAGTAGTCCAAAAGACTAACGAAGATTTTGAGGGGGGGATGAAGCAAATGTGGGTAGGAATTCAAGGGATAGCGGGCAAGAAGAGAGGGGGAGACACGGAAATAACGGCACTAAGATCTGCCGAGGGTAAGATGGTAAGCACTTCTAAAGGAAAGAGGGAAGGACTAGTAGAGCACTACCGCAAACTTGGGACACCCACCACCAACGACAACTTCGACTCGGAGTTTGAGAAGGAAATCAACTCGTGGGCAGAGGAAAACGTTGAAAGATCTCGGAGGGAACGTAGTGATGTAGACGGGTTGCAGGGAGAGTTCACACGAGAAGAGGTAGAGGACTGCGTAGCGAAACTCAAGAATAGAAAAGCGGCAGGGGCTGATGGAATTGTGAACGAGCTTTTGAAACAGGGGGGGGAGGGGATGATTAACATGTTGGTCCGGATATTCAACTGGATATGGAAACACGAGTACGCGCCGAAGAGATGGAGAGAAGGAGTAGTCGTGAACCTGTTCAAAAAGGGGGATAAAGCTGACCCGGGGAATTATAGAGGGATAACCCTGCTGAGCACAGTGGGGAAACTGTTTGGCAAGATGATAGACAAAAGAATGGGAGACATGTTGGAGGGGAAACAAAAGATCAGCGAAGGACAAATTGGATTTAGACCAGATCGTAGTTGTGTAGACCATGTATATACGTTGAGTAAGATTATCCAAGGTAGGAAAGACGCCGGGCGTACGGCATACTGTTTCTTCCTAGATGTACAAAAAGTCTACGACACCGTATGGCGCAATGGATTGTGGAAAAAGATGTGGGACATCGGCATCCGGGGGAAAATGTGGAGGATGTTGAAAAAGATGACAGAATGCACAACAAGTGCGGTGATGTTGGATGTGGAAATTTCGAAGTACGTCAGTCGCACAGGGCTGTACGATGTCACCCACTCTTTTTAAGATTGACATCAACGAATTGATAAGGGCGGTTGAAGCAGTAAGACAGGGAGTCCAATTAGGGGGAAAGAGTGTGTCCGGACTGATGTTTGCAGATGATTTCGTGGGGGTATCCGAAACACCAGAAGGGTTGCAAGAACAAATAGATGCGGCGGTAGGATACACCCGAAAATGGAGACTGTCGGCGAACGTAGGAAAATGCGCAGTAGTGGTCTGTAACGAAGACAAGAAAAATCCCGTAGAATTCACATGGAAATGGGGGGAGGAAGAACTACCGGTAGTAGACAAGTATACGTACCTGGGAGTAGAGATTTCGAAGGAGTGCTCATGGGACGCACACATAGCGACGTTGATTGGGAAGGGTAAAGCTCAGATAGGCAAGATGGA